TATACTATATATATATATATATATATACTACTACTAGTATATATATATATATATATATATATATATATATATATATATATATATATATATATATATATATATATATCTGACGTGGCAAGTGCACCTTCTGCTCCACCCACCTCGTATACCCACGAGCCATCGCAGAAGATAAAGTGACCGGATATCAACGCAATCTGTAGCTGTGGCTCCACATGCAGCCCAGGAGAGTGTTCAGGCTGAATACGGGCTTTCCCGGTTTCGTAGTACTTGATAGCAGACAGACGCGTGACACGGTCGCCCTCGGTATTAAGTTGACCCTCGGTTGCCGGAGAGAATCCATTGAGGTATTGCGTTAATATCGGCTTCGCACTTTTTTTGTAGGCCATGTTGAGATTGTCAATACACTTTTCGTCCCAATTCTGCGTGAATCTGTAGCGAGTTCAGTAATCGAAAGAAGAGAGATAAGCATTTATCAGAGAGATACACTGTATCTAAACCACATGTGGATGCTATGTAGTACCCCATTTATCATAGAGATACACTGTAACTAAACCACATGTGGATGCTATGTAATATCCCATTTATCAGTGAGATACACTGTATCTAAACCACATGTCGATTCTATGTAGTATCCCATTTATCAGTGAGATACACTGTGTTTAGACCACATGTGGATGCTATGTAGTATCCCATTTATCAGATGGATACACTGTATCTAAACCACATGTGGATGCTATGTAGCATCCCATTTATCATAGAGATACACTGTATCTAAATCACATGTGGATGCTATGTAGTATCCCCTTTATCAGTGAGATACACTGTATCTAAACCACATGTGGAAGCCATGTAGTATCCCATTTATCAGAGAGATACACTGTATCTAAACCACATGTGTAAGCTATGTAGTATCCCATTTATCATAGAGATACACTGTATCTAAACCACATGTGGTTGCTATGTAGTATCCATTTATCAGTGAGATCCACTGCATCTAAATCACATGTGGATGCTAAGTAGTATCCTATTTATTATAGAGATAAACCGTATTTAAACCACATGTGGATGCTATGTACCATCCCCACAATATATTTAGTTAGTGATATCTATCAGTTATGGGCGGAAGGTGTATTAAGGGTTGCTGCCGGTACAGCCACTCAACCACCCTCTCACATCTAATTACACAATTAAAAGTTACAATATATCCACAAGAATGGCATATAATGATACACACACACAACAATGTGCCTGATACAATCGACTATTATTGTTTGAAAAATGCCTCTTCCCTAGACATGATCACAAGATTCGAGAACATCGCCTAAATGGCAATAGAAAACGGGCCCTTCGCTATTAAGAACACCATTCGCAATACTCATAAGACACACCAATACACAAACCTTACATTTACACACATATCACACACACACACATGCCTCACACACCCCTCAAACTTACGCACAAATAACACACATACACAAACACACACACCTCACTCCTACACACATGTACAATGGTGAGATATACATTGGTTTCACTACACACAATAGATATGACTGAGATGTGACACCAACAGAGTTTAGATTGGCTTGGCACTAAGAAGAGCCCGTCGCATCCCGAGAACTAGACTCGCAGGTAGCGTTCCCCCCCTAGAACAGACCCACATCACACATCAAGTAAAATAGAATCACTCATCTAATGCCACTTGACACAGCCTACTAGACACAGATAAATGCACACACCTGTGGTGTGAATCCAGTTGCATGTAGTAGGTCTCGTTGTTGTAGAGTGCCCGTTGCACCGCATGTCTGGCCCAACACGTGCCTCTAGTCTCTTTATAGGGCAGTCGCAACACTTTCCCGTTGAAGTCACTTCTGCTCTCGAACGAGAAAGGCTTCTGCAGAACCTCTAACTTATCCTGTGCATACGATTGCGTTATACATATACCGACGATACAATATACCGATAGGAGGTGAGTGCGACATGTTCAAGAACTCGCTCAGCAACCACAGGCCCTGGCCAACTTATAAGTTGACACTTCACATGAGTGGTGATAGAGTCAATGACTCATGAATCATGGCCTCATGAGACATGGTACGTATACAACATATGCGAACATGCCAGATCTCGTGAGAGGCAACCGATATCGTATAACACTTAACGGTTGGATGGTATAGTTATGATGCAGACTGGAGGGTCTCAGTGGACGGCCCACACCTCACCACTACGCACAATGAGTGCGTGCATGATTCAAGGCTAGGAGAGGGTAGTGGGCAGGGGACACATAGAGGCTGTGTACGTTGTTAACGCCAGGACAGACATGTGCGTCATCGCCTGGGTATACTCCTTAAATGCTATCGAAAAATATTATATAAACGGAAGTATTGGGTCTCTATCCAGCTCAGAATGCACCTGTATCTATGTAGTAGGAAGCGCATACAGCTGTGCACACTCCCCATCCAGTATAACAAAACTCAATACTGTCACACACCACAAGAAATCGCCTACCTGGCACATGATCCCAAACACAATTCGCGACGGATCTGCGGCCTTATCGAGCATGTCGTTGACCGTTGGCTCCATCTGGTCATCTCTAAAGGACACCAGCGAGACAAAGATAGACCCGGGGTGTGTGCTGCGTGGCTGCTCATGGTCGCCGAAGGCTTGCAGAGACTCTAGTACGTGGGATAGGGCGTCGGCCTCGGCAATAGGGTCGTCTGCGGGCAGTAGCTGCGCGGGAACACCCAGCGCGAGCACTAGCGACAGCGCAAGCTTCACACTGTGCAAAGGTAAATAGGGGGCGGATATGCAAGGATGAGGACAATGGAGGGTAGGATGTTAGAAAAACTGTGGGAGGTAAGCGTATGTTGAAACAAATGGATGCAATACATCTATTGGAATGGCATCGGGATTTGAAGCCAGGATTCATATGCGAGAACGGAGGAAAAGCGAAATACTCGCTGCTTTTTTGTCGGTATAAAAATGTAATAGTATCAGGTGATATTCTCATCCGAATCTGTGACTCATGTTTAAAGACAAACAAATACCAAGATGAAGCGGCAGAAATTACGACTATTAGCGTATACAAGACAGAACGCACTAGTTTGAACGCACTAGTTTCAATCTGTGACGATACGAGATTCAGAATAAAAAAATACGTAAAAAAAATAATTAG